ACCTTTTGGCTATTATGAATAATGCTGCTATGAACATGGGCATACAAATATCTCTTCGAGTCCCTGCTTTTAATTATTTTGGTTATACTAGTATACCCAGAAGTGGAATTGTTGGATCATGTGGTAATTCTATGTTTAATTTATTGAGGAACTACCATACTGTTTTCTACAGAGGCTGCACCATTTTCCATTCCCATGAGAAGTGCACAAGTGTTCCAATTTCTCTATGTTTGTTTGTTTTTTTATAGAAGCTATTCTAATGGGTGTGAGGTGGTACCTCATTGTGGTTTTCATTGGAAGTTTCCTAATGCTTAGTGATGTTGAGCATCTTCTCATGTGCTTATTGGCCATCTGTCCATGTTCTTTGGAGAAATGTCTATTCTACTACTTGGCCTATTTTTTAATTGCCTTATTTTGTTGTTGTTGTTGTTAAGTTGTATATTTACATTCTTGACCCAGTGAATAGTGGCGTATTTTAGGACCTATCATACAGTCCCGTATCTACTGGGTCCAAGCAAATATAAGTTCAGAGACAGGAAGGGAGAAATCACAAATAGAGTATGGGCTTGTCCTTTGAAGGATGGGATCATTGAGAGTCTTGCATGACTGACTCTTCCCCACCTCCCACCTCTGCCCCTTCACCTCCCTTTTCCCCAGTCAATCCATAAAGATCTCCTAAAGGAGTGTTGATTTTTTGGAGTGTTGAAAGTGAGAGTCACATTATGACCTTCACGGGCCCTTGGCACTTGTGCCTTTGGAGGTCCGTTCCTCCATGAAAAACGATATATTTTAAAAATTGTATTTTACAACTGTGTTGGTGTAAGGAAAAATATAATATTAATATCATAAAATCCTTGACAGTTGTATTTGCAATTAATAATTGATATAACCGTGTTACAATTTCCTTGACCTAAACATTTGATTTTTTTTCTTGTGATTTTTAAAAGAAATTAAAATATTACCATTAAAATCATTAAAAACCATGTTCATGGTCCCCTAGAAGTACTGTGGAACCTCGGCATTGTGCCTGCTGTGCCTAGTGCATAAGTCACCCTGTTGGAAGTAGGGTAAAGTGGAACCCAGCACTGTGGGGCTCTGCCCGCCCACAAGTAAAGCCCATCCCTTGCCACCTAATTACACTAGCTGCCTCCTAGGTTTTCCTCACTCCGGATTAGACACTCATCATTTTTCATGTCGCTTCTTCCTCATCACAGCCCTGTGAGCAGGCTTTAGCCTCATTTTACAGAAGCAAAAACTGAGGTTCAAGGAAGTTAAGAAATTGTCAGAGGTGAAGAAATTCTCCCAAGGTCATGTGGCTAATAATGGCAGAGGCAGGGTTTTGTGCCAAGTCTGATTTACTCCAGAGCCTGTGTTCTTTCCGTCATGGTATACTGCTCTCAAAGTCTCACTCCACCCCCACTGGCCAGGCTGCATGAAAGAGAAGGAAGGAGAAAAGGAGAATTCCAGGGCGGGTTCCCATGGGAAGGAGAACTGGGGGAGCCACCCTGTGTTGGGCCGGCCTAGAGCAAATAAGTAGGTTGGCAGACTCAGGTGGCAAAGGATCTGATGCCTCCGTGATAAGAGATTTAGGGAAACAAGGGCCACAAAGAAACCAACCAGTATCTAGGTTAACAAAAAGAAAAAAAAGTTGACAGCAAAATAGACCTTGAAATTCATTTGCTGTCGGCTAGGATTTGGGTGGAGCTTCCAACTTGGTTGTGGTCCTATGTCCCAGGCCTCCCACCTGAAAAAAAAAAACCCGTCCTATAGTCTTTCCAAGCCTGAGAAGAGAAGGAAGAAAGTATCATTATTATTCTTTTATTGGACTGAGAGACAGAAGAGAAGTGGGGTAGAAACCAGAGATAATGGGGGAAAAGGTATAAGCCATTCCCCCCCTTTTATCATAAGCTTCCTGAATTTAGTTTACTTTCATGTTGTTGTTGTTTGTTTGTTTGTTTTTCATTAAAAAGCTATTCCATGCCCCTCAGGAAAAAACCTTAAGGAGAAGTTTATATGTATATTTATATAGATTTATTTATAGTTTTAATTTACTTTTTTTACAAACACATAATCATACTACACATATTGCCCCAGCAATTTGCTTTTTTCATCTAACCGTATGTCCTGTCCCAGTAATTGCAGATGTACCACATTCTTCTTAACAACTGTATAGTGTTTCCAGAATGAACGACCTGTAATTTATGTAATCACTCCTCTGCCCATGGACATTCAGATATGTGTCACTCCTGCAAACAGTGCTCCAGTGAACACCGTTTCCATCTGCAATAAAACTCCAAGAACCAAACCCAGTGGACACGTAAACAGAAAGTTTCACTGGGCAGAGCAGGATGTTCCCAGAACTTGGAGAGTTGGGAAAAACCCTAGGATGAAGAGACAGATTTGAAACCCGGCTCAGCCAACCCACTGAGTGACCCTGGGCTTGTTGAACTGCCTCAGTTTCCTGGCTTGTACATAATGATAACACCAACCCTGCTTACATCACATTCTTAGGGTGAGAAGAAAATAATGTATGTTTTGTAAACTGTAAACCATAACTACAGATTACAATTCTGATACTTCAAGCCTGAAGGGCCCTAGCTCATCAGCTCTCAGGACACTCTGGGACTGTTAGTCTGAGAAAAGCTCTTTTGTGTGGAGTTCAAACATTTAATTTTTTTTTAATAAACATTTTATTTTTGAATAATTTTAGATTTATAGAAA